CCAAAGAAGCCCACCTAGGATTGCCCTGTGGACCCCTGGACCTGGTATTGTGTACCAGCAAAGGCACATTATGCCTCACGGGCTCCCAGTTTTGTATTGGGTAAACTTGAATCAATTTTTCTTGGAATTCTGGACCTCCTTGTTTTAAACTAGGAGGCTCAGACTTTATTTGAGCTGTTCTTAAATTAAAAAAAAAAAAAAAATCTAGTACCACCTACTAACTTTTAGGTGGTACTAAAGGTTAAAAGTTGAGATAACCCAGGGACAGGAAAAAAAAAATGGGTGGCTGGTTTTTAATTTTAGCTTTTCCATTGGGAATCCTTTCTGAGAATGTGAACAAAACTTTTTACTAGATAAATGAGAGTCTGAACTCTTTTTGCTCTGAAGATAAGGGTCATTTACCCCATCAAGCTCAAATTTTGGGTATTTTTAGGTGACTAAGAATCTATGTGGAGGTGTCAGGGGGTACCCCTCAGGACAAGCAGGGCCCCATGGGGAATTCCAACACAACTGTAATTAAATAATTGACTTGTCTGTCGATGAGCACATGAAGGCTGGTTACCTAGCGCTCTGAGTCCTCATGGTTGTGTTAGACAGCCAGGGAGAAACTGAGACACACACAAGGTTTGGATGGAGCAACTTGGGAGGTGACAGACCCTTGGAGCTCAATCTGTAAGCAGAACACTTCAAGCGACTATGCAATAGCCCTAGAAATTTCTTCAGACTTTGTAGATCTAAAAATAAAACTAAAATTAACATGGGAAATTGTACCTCGAGGCCGACAAGCCCTAGCTCCATTATCACTTCTGTAGATGTACAATTCACAGGAAGTACTTGCAAGTACTTACAGAAATGGAGACATTTACCTAAAAGTTATATCAACTAAGATGGCTGAAATGGAGTTCTTCTGACACCTAATTTTTTTTTTTTTTTTGCATGCATCATAGGAAAAAAAAAATAAGCCTGCTCTAAAATCAAACTGAAGGAATGAGAGGCTTACCTCAACTGGAAATAGAAGCCTCTGAAATGGAGCACAAAAAGACTTTGTTCTCTCCGGGAAGTAATAAGAAAATTTTAAAGACTATCTGTCTCTGAACTAAAGGCTTCCAATGCTGCTCAGTGCCAACACCTCACTTTTCCCTCTTCTCTAAATGCCCCACTGTACCCTTTACTTTGCTATTTGGACTTACTTTGTCTTCCTCTCCCTTCTCTCTCTCTTCTACAAAACAGACAAAAACAAACATTAGCCTCTGATTTATACCCTACTTTAGCTGTCATCCTAGCCTTTTGTTTTTTTCTCAGCTAGGATTGTTGAAATAGAAGTTCACAACATTTACTCCATAATTTTACTAACTCCCTCCTCCTTGCAATTTGATTTTGGCCTCTATACTCCAGGTATAAATACATATTAACAAAATAATTCACCATTAACAATGTCAATAGTTCACTTATTTTCTAAAACTCCTTATCTACAGTAAATTCAAAATAAGAGAAAAATCTGTCTTCCATGTTTTTGACACTTAATTCATGAAGACTTAAGCAACTAAACTATAAGAAAAAACAACTGGTAATTAAAAACTGAAAGATGAAAAAATTAAGACATATTTTATTAATAAAGTATGGTATTTTAATCCACAAATCCAATTGAAATAGTTTAACACTACAGAAGAGAGTGAAATATCAATAAATGCTATCCAATTGACCCCAAATTTTTATTTTTTCTAAGTACAAAAAACAACTGAAATTCTGCAGAATGAATATTGCCAAAGTAACCTTAATATCTGAAGTTCAAAAGACATCCTGTGATACTCATAATATTACAAATTGACAATCTTCTTATCTAGAAAAATGGAAAGATAGGAATTGACTGACAAACGAAATAGCATTTACTCAATCAACCAGTAGAGCAGAATCACATAAGTGCACATTTAACTTATATAAATTCAATTCTACACCAGGCAAAAATAAATAAATGAAAGTAATTTGGTGCCACATGACCTCTAAGAAACCAAACTAGCTCATTTGTCATTATCTGAAGAAATTGTTACCTGTTCTGAAATTGGAGGGAAAACAACCCATTAGAATTATTCAAACAATATGACTTGTGCAAAATCATGTAGATGACCTATGGGAGATTAAAGAAATTTCATGGGTAATGATTATATGTGATTTTCTCCTTATGTAATAACTTTAGAACCTTAACCCATGTAAAAAAATGTAACACCAGTGAATGAACTGAGTGAGTATATTTGACAGACGTTATGATAAACGATTTTAAAATGTAAAATTCTAAGAGTATCAGTATATAAAAGATATAGTAGAAGGAAGGCATGATTATAATTTGGGATAAATGACAGGAAAAGAGAAAATAGTAAAAAGTGATACAAAGTAATACTAAAACATCATAAAATAAAGCCCAACATAGCAACAGAAGGAAATTATGGTGGAGAATGAGAGGAAGCAGAAGCGAATAGGAATTTTATTTGTAGAAACCCGAGGACTAGTGCTTGATCACCTCACATTAAGTAGGCAAAAGTAAAGATAGGAAGAAGTCAATGATTTATTTAATTCTGCTACTGTATTCCCTAATTTTAAGGCATCATTAGATAACTAGATATTCACTGGAGATGAGAAACACAAAATACTTGTTTTTATGCTTCAATTGCATAACATATTTTATTTTTAGCCACGCTACTCTTAAGACTCTAGTCTAATTCCGTAATTCCTGTCATTTTATTTCATCTTTTTTTTTTGAGGGGGGCAGGGAAGTCTATGAATATGAACATAAAGAAAAGTGTGTGTATATGTGCACACATGTGTGTATATGACATTATGTATTATCATGTCAATCACTTACATAATTAATATTGTTTAATTATAAAATAACCGTATAAGGTAGACATTTATCATCTCTACTTCAGACATGAGAAAAGTAAGGCTCAAGCTGATGATATGACTTGTCCAATGAAAAAGAGCGAATTGGGTGGCGCTCTGAAGTCACAAATCTGGCCCCAAAGCTGGCATTCTTAAACCTAAAGGTATTGAGCATAAACTACGTGAGACAAATTTTTTATATACCACCTCATTTACTCCTCGCAACTCTGCTCTGTGGACATAATGACTCCTATTTTACAAACAAACAAACAAACAAACAAAAAACGAGTCTCAAACAGATTATATAATTGTCCAAAGATAGATAGTTTGTGACAGGCTGAAATTAGAATTCAAGTCTATTTGAATTAGTAGGTAGTTTGAAATAAAGAATGATGCAACATTTATAAAAATAAAATCAATTTCTTTATTAGCAAATCAATGTATATTTGATTTTATCCACAAATAATCCAAAAAAATTTAAAAAAATTAGTGTTCAAAACCACTGAATATTGGTTGTATTATGTTTTACATTAAAAGATTAAATTTAACTTACATTAACCCTGCTAAAATAAATATTTCATTCTTCAGGAATCTGCTACTTTTATTTTAATCACTACTTTTTCTTCCTTTTTTTGAACACACATAGGCTGCTATAAAATATCTGCAGGTGATCTGCATGTCTACATATCAGAAACGGAAATAGCTATTTTTCCTCTTTCTCATTTTTTGGCCACATAGTATCCCAAGAACAGGATATAATAAAACAAATTAATGGCTTCTAAAAAAGACTTGGATAGCCATGAAGTTTTCTGGACCATCATTGCTAGGATTCTGTGAGCATCCAGGTAACACTTTTGGCAGCTGGGGCTATATCCTCTCTAGCAAAGGAAGAACTCTCTTGGGCACAAAAGGCAAAATATAAACAGAATTAAGCAGATGATGTTTTCCTTTCTAAACTACTATTCTCTTCACAAGGAGCTCAACTCTAATTCAACTGATCAAAATGCTAGGAAGAAGAAATATTTTGTAGAGTACAGAAAGACACGTTGCTAATGCTGGCATCATCACTCTATTTCAAGTTAAAATAAAAGGTTTAGCACTTCACTCTGATCACAGTTCTCTCATGTAAGTTGAGAATCTTGGACTTGTTTCAGAAGAGAGAAAAGGAGGATATATAGGTAATACCTGGTTATAAAAAATTGGACTGGAAGCATCAGCTTATTTTATATATCAGCAGAAACATTAAGTCAAGATGTGATCCAAAAACCTTGATATGATAAAATCCATGTCCTTCTGCTAAAATACTTAGTCATCCAGACCCACACATTCACTACACCATAGCAAATCTTTTACTATATAACACAGTGCCATAAATCTAAATTCTACAGCTCTGAACTTTCAGCCTCTGTCTCATACTTTACTGCTCACTAAATTTCCTTTGCCTATCCATCTATAAACGGAGCTTAACCTGGGTTAGATCCAGCTGGATCTCAGACCCAAAACCTTTAGAAGTCAGGTAAGTGACTTCTAAGACTTGTGATCAGGGAGATGTAAAGATAGCAAAGGACACATTGTCTTTTCAGTGTCAATGCAGAACAGATTGTTAAGTTGACAAGATGAGCTGAAATGTCCTTTGCTGTCTTTTTATATTTTTTGCTGGCCCAGAAACTAGGTGCTCGAAAACAAAATTTCTTCTTTCTGGAAATGTGTTAATAAAGTATAAAACAATTTTTTAAGTATATTTTTGTCATTATTGTGATACACTTCTACATTGACTTTATGTATATTTTGCAGCGCAGATTTTGCTTTATGCTCTGGTAATTTCCCATTTTATATAATTCAAATATGAAGGCACTTGCAAGGTTATCGAACATACTGATTTTTAAAAATTAAAAACAATCCTGTTTTCATTTTTATATTGTTGTTCACCTGTGTACATGACTATAAATTCAGACTGAATAAAAAGACCTTACATTTTATTACAAAGCTAACTAAAAAGACTGCAGAGTAAAGTAATTTATGAGTAGTAAATATTTTCATTAAAAAACCTAACATTTTTGAGCAGTGCGTAGTGAAAAATAAAGCATTTCTGGAATGAAATACATGGTGAGATGAATCTTACTTACCAAATTCCTTAGGAACTGCTATAGAATAAACACAATTATGTCCCACACTGTAATTTTTTGGATAGTTTGGTGATAGAACAGTGCCTTCAGAACCAGTTGAACGACTTCCACATGGTGCTAAGAAATAAAAATGATCAAACATTATTTTTAGAAAAAAAATAAATATTCACACTATGAATATTTTCTTGATAGAAAAAATATGGCAACTAGATTTAAAAAGTATGTTTATTTCCTTATTTTAAAGAGATTCCTCATTGTCAAATATTTAAAAAAAATAAAATCAAAAACTGCACTACAAAACTTTTTAAGCATTAAGATTTACTCTTCTCAGAAACAAAGTAATATAACAATATTGTAATGGTGCTATCTCTATAGGTAATAATGGTGGTTGTGCTTTTATTTCTGATAAAAGTGTAATAATAATTATGTCTTTTATAATGATGAGAAAGTACATATGCAAGTGAGAAATTATTTCACTGACAGGCTTTGAAACTCTACTGAAAATCAACCTTGATTATGCTGCCACTAAATTATTTCTATACATGGTTTAGGATGGCTATATCAATACACTCATCCACTCATCTAAGCGAAATACTCTCTCACCATATGATTTACACTTAAATCAGAGGAGTTGCTGATGGTGTACAGAGGCAGGTTTTTTGCTATCTCAAGCCCAAATGTGCTATGTTCCTAAAAAAGATGAAAGTAAAACCAATGTTTCTGGCAAATTTATAGATGATGGTTCTGCTGTTCACAAGGTAGGGGGATGTGTAGTTCTGGAACTCAGAGAGAGACCTAAGCTACTAATAGAGACTTAAGTATCCAAAGCATAAATTGATGGTATTCTTTAAGTGAATGAGGTCACACAGAATAGTACATAGAATGAGAAAAGGCGGCTAAAGAGGAGGTCTGGGGAATGCCAAGGTAGGATCTGATAGATAGAGGGTGGTTACCGAGAAATTAGTCTCTTGGGAGCAACGGGAGAAGAGAGTGCCAATTAGAAGAAAGTGTTCAGAAAAGCTAAGTGTTGTAAAGTGGTAATAAATGAAAAAGGAGTCTTGGTGGATTTGGCAATGTGGAGCATTGGGGAGCAAGGCGCTTCTTCTTGAGGAGGTTTTCTTGAGGAGGGATTTCACCTAGGCATACCTGCCTGCTGGCCCCACTCCTACCTCCTGGAAGTGGAATGAGCTGCCTGATGAGCTTAGACAGGAACTTGACTCCAGTTAGGAGCCACTCTGCCAACAGAGTGCAATCACTGGTCTCTTACTCTATAGTGTATTTCAAAGTGCATCTGTTCAGGGGGGGACCATGGTTGTTGCAAGATACCTGTAACTGCATAGGAAGCTCAATGTTATTGCTCCTTAGCTTTTATTAATATTAAAGCTGATGGTTTGATTTCCTTCATCCTATCTCTTAATTGGCTTTGAACTTGTGCAGAATTATCCTCAAACACAAAAAAAGGAGTTGGTATTATTAATACAGTAGTTTCAACCAAAGCGGTTTTCTATAAATTAACACCAGCAAGCCAAATCCAGCCCATACCAAAAGAAGTTTTTACATTTTTAAAAAGTGACAAAACAAAACAAAAACTAGTAATATGTGCCAGAGACATGTGGTCAGCAAAGCCCAAAATATCATTTGGCCCTTTAACAGAGTTTGCTAACTCCTGAAATAGAGAGATAGCAGCTAAATTGTAGTTGGATGAAGAGTAAGTGGTATATAAATACAAAAACAATCAAAATCATAACCATAAACAAAAAGAGAATGCAGAAAGTAGGTGGAAGAAGATGCAAAGCTGAATGTGTTTTTGTTATCATTGTTTGACAGGGAGCAAGGAGTCCTTACAAAGAGAGAATAATCAGGAGCACTGACCTGGAGGCTTGGAAAAGATAAGATTAAGAAGAAAAGAGGAGTGACTAGATTTAGAAAGCTTTAGCTACACACTCCTTTGTTACCTGAGGAAAGGGCTGAAGGAGACTGGAAGTACATAGGTTTAGGTTTTATGCTGAAGATTTATTGGAGTTTATGCCTGACCTCCTTTTTAAAGAGAGCTGGATAGGGTATGCGATATGGCTTGAGAAAAGTCATAACAGTTTGAAAAGTCAAAACTTTTGATCCGGCCAAAGTTTGATATATAGCAATATATTTAAAACACACACAGCCAAAGTTTTGATCCGGCCAAAGTTTGAAATATAGCAATATATTTAAAACACACACACAACACAAACAGTCTGCTGTATTGAGTTGGGTGGCTAATAAAGGTCCTGACTTTTTTCTTTTTAATGTTCTATAAAATGGTAATAGTTAGAATTAAACATATTAAAATTAGAACTCCCCAGAATAACAACGAATTGACAGTGATGATAATAACCCAAGATGCATCAATCACTCTCATCACTCATTATTGTTTGAGATTAGAGTAGTCAGGTATATTCTTATTTCAGCACTGATAACTTTATGCAACTGATAATAGTAGTGATGAGAGAATTATTTAAGAATGAGCAATATGTTTTAATTTTCTTTCTGATTTTAAGGTGCTCCAAAATACAGTACTTTGAATGTATGTGACAAACTTATTTTTAAATTTCAAAAGTATAAACAGAAATTAGTTTTTAACTTGAGTTTAGCTTTGTGACTTAGTCATAAACATTCTGCCATTCCACATTAATATGCATCTGACAGCTCAATTTGTTCTGTATATTTTATTTTTTATAATGGACATTAAGGATAGCTTTTGTTGAAAATTTAAGTTATAAATATGAAAAATATAAATGTTTTTATTTTAAATCACAGCTGAATATACGTGAAGTTGCAATATAATAACGTGTCTTTATGGTAACTAAGATTATGTTAGATTCTGTTATTTGTACTGGTAGCAATAAGTTTATATTCCTTATGGTCGATGATTACAGCATGGACTAATTTATAGTCAATTATGCTCAATACTGTAGTGATTTTATATAGTATGTAAATATTTTATATAGTATGTAAATATCATAAATAAGGGTAAATTAACTATGCTGTGAAATACAGATTTATTATAATCTGTTTTATGTTTATAAAAATCTAAATGGAAAAACGACTAAGCCAGGCCAGCTTTACTAATTCTCCTAATATTGGTTCCTAGAAGCTTTTCATATTCTCTCATCCTATTTTAATTTCATCTTATTGGCTAATACAGAAAAAGACAGCCACCTTTATCTTTCTGGATCTGTTAACAATCAGTAGAAGATAAAAACGAGCCAGTACTTTTAATTTTATGCTTATTTTTGCCATTTGACTTATACCTGTAGGCCTTTTGTCAAACTGGCTGTGTTTCTACAGTGTACATCATTGGAATGCATTAAAAGCAAAAACTCACCTGTTCCTACCACTTAGGTGATATGACGACTACCTCTTAAACCTGTATTTTAATAGCAATTTTGTAGAACATACAAATTTGAGATGAAATGGTTCTGTGATTCACTAAATTTGGGAAATACAGGGTTCTTTATTGTAAGACTTCACTGAAACTTTGATAAGGTTTGGAAAATATCATGTTCTTTCTTTGAAACTTATTTGATCATGGAAACTTGTCTCAGTGTTAACATCTCACAAGGCCTATGTTCCCCAGAACTCACTTTGCAAAATGGCAGATTGATGATTCTAAAATGTGCTTTCACATTGGCAATAATTCTAACATTTATATTATTGACTGTAATTATGATTTTGTAGCACTAAAGAACTGTGTTTTATGTATACATAGAGGGCCAAAGTAATTTAAAGATTTAAAATGTCAAAGTTAGCTTATTATAAAATGCTATTATTCTTAATACTCTCTCCCTGACTTTTGGGTTCCAACACATCACTGATTTGTTGCTTGTGCCCTTCTATACCTTATCAGCCTCCTTTTTGTCTGCCACTGTAACTGCCACAATCCAGACTCCCAATAGTTTTCACGTGAACGCTTCCAATAGCTAGCCAGCTCATCTCTACAAGTTCTTACTACTAGTAGTGATTTTCCTCACACACAAGTCTTATCATTTTTCTCTTCCTAGAACAGTTCTGATGAACAGTAGGTCCTCCATAAATGTCTGTTGAAAGATTAAATGAACTACACTTGTGAAACCAGGCTCCTATGAAATAGTGTTCCACAGTAAGCATGTAACACAAACATTTCATTTGGTTGAAATTACCCCAGAAATTAAGTTAAATCCAAGACAGAATCAAAACAAACCCTCTTTTAATAAATCCATAGATAAGCTATTTTTTTTTCTGTCTGTTGTTGAAATTGACACTGTTTCTCTGAATACCACGAATCACTATTGCTTTATTTTAGAGGTAATATTATGTGAAAAATTATGCATCTTTAAATATTAAAAATATATTTAATTATAAGATTTTTAAATACAAGAGCTACATGGATACTGAGTTCCACTGACGATATAGCAAACAGCAAACTCATGTCTGCCATTCACAGTAGCAAATCCATGTTAGTAATTATTCGGTCTGCTGTATACTCTCATAAGTAAGAGAAATCACCTACATAGTTTAATTTTGTGTGTGTGTGTGTGTGTTTTTTATGCTCTCTTTTTCTGTTTTTTTAAAAATCTTCTTATGGCTGAATTTGTATGGTTTGAATTGTATAAGTAAAATGTGCCCATGCTGTAA